ATATATAAATATATGCATTATTTAGTAATTAAAATTTAGCATCTATTTAGTAGTGGATAGCACATTGCTTGCCCAACTCAACAGTGTCCCCCATCTCGGTTTAGCCATTCCCTGGGAATTTTCTTCTAGTTGAGACAGCAACGATAGCAAAAATAATCCTTTTGTGGCACTTCCTAATTGTAGACATTAGATCCCTCCTTCATTCTTCCACATTTTCCTGGTTTTCCCGTTTCCTCCCTGATCCGGCTCCCTTTATTTCATAGTTATTCCTGTCCGCTCTGTTCCAGCCTCTCTCCCGCTTGTGGAGGAAGAGCTTCGCTTCCAGGATGCGCCGGATCCGCCGCTTCCCGTGGCCGGTTTTCCAGCACGGGGACGATCCGCACTGTGTGGAACAGGAATGGGGAGGCCGTGGCCTCACGTGGGGCCGCCAACGGCTCCAACGTCCCCGCGGCCCGATCCATCCCCGGATTAACGGGAATGGGGATGGGGAGCAAAAGGGAGGAGAGTTCAGATTCATGGGGATGGGGACGGGGAAGGGAGGAGAGTCCGGATTCATTGGAATTGGGACTGCAAGGGAAAAGGAGGAGAGTCCAGACTCATGGGAATGGGGACTACAAGGGAAAAGGAGGATGATCCGGGTTCATGGGAATGGAGACTGCGAGGAAAAGGGAGGAGAATCCGGATTCACAGTAATGGGTACTGGGAGGGAAAAGAAGGATGATTGGAATTCACGGTGACGGGTGCTAGAAGGGAAAAGGAGGGTGATCCAGATTCACAGTGATGGGTACTAGAAGGGAAAAGGAGGAGAATTGGAATTCCCAGTGATGGTTACTAGTAGTGAAAAGGAGGCTAGTCTGGATTCATAGTGATGGGTACTAGAAGGGAAAAGGAGGGTAATCTGGATTCACAGGAATGGGTACTAGAAGGGAAAAGGAGGATAATCCAATTAGCAGGGTGACTTGGGGACCTCTGTCCACTAGAGCGAGGGGGAGATGTTCTAGAAACCAGAACTGCCTCAATTCAGCATAACCTGCAAACCGTCCCCAAAGCAGCATCCAACTGCTGATGGGCAAAGAGGCTCCTTCCAGCTGCCACAGCCATCTCCTCTCCCAGGGCACATCAGATCTGTCTTCCCTTCCATGCTCTGGAGTCTCTTTCCTGTTTCACGTGGCTCTGTCTTCTCCAGAATTGCCCCCCTCGTGCTTTGACGTTGCCCTCATTTTGCCACCTTCCAAAATCCCCTTTTCTCCCCCTTCCCAACACACAACTGAACCTCATTTCCCTTAGATGAAGCCCGGCAAGGACTCGTCTTTGACTCCATCTAGGAAATGGGTGCTACCATTTCAGGATACCTTGGCCAACCGGTGTTTCCCTTACATAAAGCCCGATGAGGACACGTCTTTGACTTCGTCTACATCTCTAGGAACCGGGTGCTCCCATTTCAGGATACCTTGGCCAACCGGTCCCCCATTTCCCCATCAATCCTCTTGTCAACTTACCTGCACGATTCTGAGCTTCCCAGAAATCTAAAAAAGGAGAAAAGGATACTGTGAATCCATGGACATTAATCTACTTGCGAATCCATGGACATTAATCTACATTAATTCATACTTGTGAATCCATGGACATTAATCTAAGAGACATTAAGGTTTTATGAATCCTTGGAGTGGTAAAACTCTTCTCAGACTAAACTATTCAGTCTTCTCATGTACAGTTATTGCCATCACTGTGATTCCATATCTCTATGTCACTGATTCTATATCAGTGCTAACTTTACTCTATTAACGCACCAACGCAATACAATATTTTTTTAAAACCACTTACCCAAATCAACCCGGTATCGATCTGTAAAGAAAAGACGTTTACACTAATATTACTACTTTTTTTCTGCCTTTTGTTTTCCCTTTTTCCAAAACCAATTTCAAAATAGATTAGACACCTCCAAAATTTGATTTATAATGAAACCCGAAGCAATATATGTGTCGATAACTTTGTCATGGTGTTGGCCATGAAGAACTTGCAACCAAGGAAGAGTTCCTAATCCTGAGAGGTCGTTACCTACCATATTTCTTGAAGGAAGAAATAGAATCTCATTGTGATGAGATATTTACCTTGGGCTTTAGGAATATATATGTAGACTCCATGCTGACTAGCTGTATATATAGGCTCTATGCTGACGAGCTTTGCTGTTTCTAAAGTTCTTAAGAATACAAGATTTATTCAAGACGTATTTTCTTACCAAGACGTTGTTCGTTTTCAACCTTTGCTGTAAAGGAAGAGCTTAAATGAGTTAACTGAAGATCATTAAAGATGAGAACAGAAATATACAGCTACCCCCATGAAGAATACCATGCTTTTTAACTTCAAAATTTACAGTGTGAAAATATGGCAACTTTAGTTCTTAAAAGCATATGGTATTAATAAGATTCAGGTATAAACGCACATATCTATATAGCAGATTTTCCATGTTCTAGAGCTATTGAACTTTGCCTCCCTGTTCCCATTTTAAGCCTCCAGTGCTGTCTGATATTAATGAATGAATGACTTAATTATTATAAATATTAATTAATTAATGTTCACTCATTAATTGTGGATAAGTTAATTTTCACACGTGGAATTATATTTACCTCCTTGATTTGTTTCCTTCTGTATATCTAAATCGATCCAAAACAACACGAACAACAAAAGAGGAAGAAAAAGAAAAAATATTAATGCACTGGAGAGTGAACGGTTGGATTAATTTAGAAGTTAAAATGATAAAATGAGCTTTAAAATTACTCCATTGTCTTCAGTAATTAAGTCTGAATTAAGTACATGGAAATCTAAATTAAAACATCTTTTAATTGATAATAAAAAAAAAATGTTGAAAGGAATAGACATGTCCAGAAGTATTTCATGTAGAAATATTCTCCAGCTTATTTGCTTTTGTATGGGATAGTGAAGATTTACTACATGTATGAAGTTGATCAGACAAGAAATATTACATTTTTCAGCTGCAAATATATATGAACATGAAATGTATATATATATGTATATATATATATGAACATGAACAACTGTATTCTTACCTAATTCTTCCTTCAGTCTTTCTTTTTCTGAAAGAAATAGAACATAGCTTTTAATGTAATATAATGTAATAAAATCACATAACTATCGAGTATAGGGTAAAACTTCCAATCTCTTCTGAATTTTAGCAACTTTTAAACAGAACTTTGTCTTATATTATTCTATGGGGTCACAAACAACTACTTAAAATCATTTTTTTATACTCAATTTGTAATCAGAATAGGTATTGAGGATGTGAAGAGGCCTTTATGATTAGCGTCTATATTTTTAATTTGGGAGCTTTGGGAGATATAAAGTGATGAAGCAGAGATAAAATGGGGCAAAGAATGGAATATATGAGTGACTGATCCAGCTATGAAGAAAAAGATATCATGAAAATTATCATAGGTCAAAGGCATCTTTAGTGGAAAAAAGGGGTTATTAGTAAAATTATATCTCAATCTATTAGTGCAATCTACCTATAAAGGGGTTAAAACATTTTAATAATTAAGAACAATATGGCCAATTGTGACTTAACACTTAAAGGACTGAAACTCTTGAAATTCTTGTCAAAGGAATCAAAGTGCCCTAAATCAGTATTTTTAGATGTATGATTTCAGGGTATCCTCACAGCTATTGAAGAGTATTTACCAACTTCAAAGTTCGTCTTCATTTTTTCTAAAAATAAAGAGAATTATATCGCCATATTATTCATGCCCTTAAACTTCAATTAACAAACGCAATAAAACAGCAGTAATAAGTGAAAGAATAAGTGAAGAATAATCAAAGAATCTCCAATGCTGCTAGAAAGCCGAATTCATGATTTCTGTAGAGAAGGTCATTTCTTCTAACGGAGTAATATTTGAGTACTGGAAGACCTAAGAAGTACCTGAAGAAAAAGGTACTCCTGGAAGGCAGACACTGCATATATTGAATAATTCTGCTATGATTTATAACCTGGAAAAATGCTAGAGACAAGGAGAATTTTTACCTCCAAACAGGCAACATCTTCTCCAAGGCAGAACTGGCTTTGTTAACCAATGTTAACCTAACATTTGGTTGACCTATAGTTGAGCTATAAACATTTTTTATTATTATATCCCCACTTCGCTTCTGCCCATAACAAAACCAAATAGTCTAAGTATTGAATATTATCTTCATTATTATCTTTTCATTATTACGAAACCATCTTCATTATTATCGTTTCTCTATCATTTCTGAATCAGCAATAAGCAGCATAAACTTCTCTTCCAAAATATTTTCATTTGTGATTATATTTGGCTCCCTCAGTACTCACTTGCCTCCAGTGTCTTTTTAAAATTTCCTGGGAAAACACAAGAAAAGAAGTATTTATTTATTTATTTTTAAAAAGGTGGCCTATTTAGAATATTGCAGTATAATGTCACAATGAGAAGTTTTACAAAAAGCCACTAATGCAAAAAGAGTTTCCTGTGCTTTGAAAAATTTAATTTAATCTAAATTTTTAGATTAATTTTTAATTTATTTATTTTTTCTTTAACTGTGCTTGCATTCTAGATGAAAATTTCCATATCAGGTGCTGGAAATGGAGGCACTTACTCTTAAGCTTATAAGCCATAGCACCAATAAGAACTGCGTTGAGAAACAAGAGCACAAGGAAGGCCGTCATCCAAGGTGAAGTGGAAGGAAAGAAGGTATCTGTAAAATATAGACAATTAGACTTTCACTTACTGATTATGAGATGGTTAAGACAGGCTATAGTGGCCAAAACTCTGTTGTCTACTCGCAATTTAATTGATATTATCTATTTTAACTAAGGAACCACTAGACAAACATTTTGGCAAAGTAGAATCATATTCTATTGTGCTTCAGAAGAAAAAGATAACTATCCCTCCTTCACCTTTAAAGTGAAGATATCTTTCTAAATAAGGAGCCCAAGTTGGAGGGAAGAGCATGCATAATCATGGTGGCATTGGGGAGAAAAGTGGGAAAAGAAGCAGATATTCAGCCCTCCCTATTGATATGCTCTTCACATTGCTTAAGTCACTCTGTTGGGTATTTTGGAAGCAGTGTAGGGGTTTTCTATCCCCATGAACATTTCTAAGTCCTCCCTCTCCAAACTGATCTAGTGCTTTCAGGTGGCAGCGGATGAGACCTCTGCATTAATCATTATGACCAATATTCAACTTAAATATACAGAAATCTACAGCATAAATGTGGATTTCTTATCATGTTATCCATTTTCTTATCATGTTCTCCATCTTATCATGTTACCCATCTTCTTATCGTGTTATCCAGTTCTTATCATGTTATCCCATTCTTATCATGTTCGCCATCTCTGCATTAGTTGTTTGTGCTTGGAATGGGTATCCATGATGACTCCAGGGTCAATGGAGAGACCATGGACAACAGCCTACCAAGCAGTCTTGAAAATAGTTGTGCCTGGAAATCACTCACCTGAAATCAGGACTCGGGACTCACATGCTGTGTTGAGTAGGTCATTGACCACTCTACAGGACACCTCCGTGTCAGATCTGGGTTCTAGGTTCATGGAACTTATGATGTCAAAAACCCCTGAAGATGTCCTCACGTTTTGGGTGATCGCTTCCTCCTTTCGTATCTCTCCTTTGCTGTCCAGCCACACGACTCTGGGCTCTGGGAACCATCCTTTGGACTTGCAAGTGAGGCCAATGCCCTGACCCACATGACCATCCAGAAAGACGGATGACCCATCACCTGTGGCTATAGAAAGACAAGCAAACATAATCAAAGGAAAACAGAAAACTAGATATTCTCTGATCAAACAATATACAATGAAAGGGTGTTCTCCAGATTATACAGTCTGCAACCTCCAGAAAATTGCAAATTCAACACTGATTAAATGGTTCTTCCTGCGCTACATTAAAATGGAGACATTTATATGCAATATATATATTGCATTTTTGCAATGCTGTTATGGGTTCTGGCAGATGGTCTTGCAGTGGAACAATCTTGCCCTTCTGGTAGAATAAAGTTCACCAACATTTCTCTGTAAAGGGTGGTAGAAAGTCAGTGATGTTGGAATTTCACATGACTAAGGGTAGGTGAGATGAATCCAATAAATTGGTACCCCGTAGTCATTATGGGCAACTGGATGTGGAAGAAGAAAAGCAGAAGTAGAAAATAGTCGAAGTAGAAAATTGTAGAAGTAGAAAATAATAGAAGTAGAAAATCGTAGAAGTAGAAAATTGTAGAAGTAGAAAATCATAGAAATAGAAAATAATAGAAGTAGAAAATAGTACAAGTAGAAAATAGTACCAATAGAAAATAGTAGAAGTAGAAAATAGTAGAAATAGAAAATAGTGGAAGTAGCAAATAGTAGTAGAAAATCGTAGAAGTAGAAAATAATAGAAGTAGAAAATTGTAGTAGAAAATCATAGAAATAGAAAATTGTAGAAGTAGAAAATTGCAGAAGTAGAAAATAGTAGAAGTAGAAAATCATTGTATAAAATTATAGAAGAAGAAGTAGAAGTAGAAAATTATAGAAATAGAATATCGTAGAAGTAGAAAATCGTAGAAAATTGTAGAAGTAGAAAATCGTAGAAGTAGAAAATAGTAGTAGAAAATCATAGAAATAGAAAATTGTAGAAGTAGAAAATCATAGAAGTAGAAAATAGTAGAAGAAGAAAATCGTAGAGATAGAAAATCATAGAAGTAGAAAATAATAGAAGTAGAAAATAGTAGAAGTAGAAAATCGTAGAAGTAGAAAATGGTAGAAGTAGAAAATAGTAGTAGAAAATAATAGAGGTAGAAAATAGTAGAAGTAGAAAATCGTAGAAGTAGAAAATAGTAGAAGTAGAAAATAGTAGTAGAAAATAATAGAGGTAGAAAATAGTAGAAGTAGAAAATTGTAGAAGCAGAAAGTAGTAGAAGTAGAAAATCATAGAAGTAGAAAATAGTAGAAGTAGAAAATAATAGAGGTAGAAAATAGTACAAGTATAAAATAGTACAAGTAGAAAGTAATAGAAGTAGAAAATCGTAGAAGTAGCAAATTTCTACCATTGCACTCACCAGCCACGGAGAGCTCCACCACCACCTCATCGTACCAGTTCTCGAAGAAGACGCTGCACGTGTATTTCCCCTTGTCAGAGACCGTGACATTCCTCAGGTAGAGGGACACATTTCCCTTGTCAAACTCGGTATGGAAGAAACTCGTCCTGCCCTGGTATCTCTTGTCTTCCGTAACTGGATCTTGTGTGTTTTTTCCATCGTAGATGCTCACATCAATTTTTTCGGAGTTTGTAGCAAATATCCACTGGATAGAAAGTCGCTCGGAGATGGTTTTAGCTTCCAGCTGGCAGGGCAGGATGACTCCTGTTCCAACGACCCCAATGACAGGGTTGTCAGGAGGGATGATTTTAAACTGGCCTGCAAAGAAATATATGGGCCATATGAATTTTATATGAATAAAAATCCAAAGCAAAGAAAGGAAATGTGTTAATATTTCATAATACTCCTGCTTGGCTCTGGTTTGAAGCAACAGGTAGAGAGAATGGAGGGCATCTCCTTGGGATTATAGAGTGTTTTTAAAACAACAGCATTACTACTAATATTGTATAAGTATATATATAATTATACATACATATAATTATATTACACATATAATTACCCATATGTAAATATAAAAAATCAAGTAATGACACAAATATTGTATTGAAAAAATATATAGCCAAAATCCTTCCCAAAATTTCTTTTTTTAATTTATTTCTATTATCCCCATAAATTATATGTCCTTTAAAATGAAAAGATGGTTAGAATAGAACCTAGGTTTACCTGTGACCATGTGAATTAGCTGTAGGAAAATAATGATGTGGGGATTCATCACCCAAGGAAATGTGCAGCCCGTCAACGTGCAGGTTTGGAGGACATCAATATGCAGAATTTCCAGGGCAAATTTTATCAGATTCCTGTAACCTTTTCACGTATAGAAGAAAAATGAGAAAAATTAAAAAAGAAGCAGAGCCACATGTTTCTCTCTATATTGTAGGCTATGAAGTGACACAATGTCGAATCAAGAAAGTTTTTTTTAATGGAAATCCTCATGGAGTAGCATTTCCAGAAAGGACCTTTAAAAGTGCTAGAAGATAATAATAAAAAAAGACTTTTTCATTTAATTTCTGTTTTTAATAACATGTTTACTATTAGTAAATTTGTAAATTAACTTGGGGTATTCCTCACCTTTTACTAAGTCCAGCCTACTCCAACATGGAGGTGGACTGCTTTGCTTAGTGCACTTTGCTTGGTGAATATATAAATCTAATATATAAATCTGTTTTACTGATTAGAATTCACAAAATAATGTGATGCAATTAAATTATACCTGCCACAGTTCACTAAGATTGCTTAAAGTATTTTATATACGAGAAATATATCTGTATATACCCACCAGATAATCATAATAGACTTGTTTGGACAAAAAGAACAAAATAAGTTTTCTTTATAAGTGCAAATAGGTGTTGGAATCAGCTGGGGCATGGAGAACACAATCCCATCCGTTATAACAGTTTCAGCATACCATCTCCTTCAAGCTACCTAGAAAATAGCATTACTCATTTTTATTGGATTTTATTAGTTATTTTTATTAGTTTTTTTAGTTATTTATTTGTTATAAATAACATTTCCATGATTGAGCTTCTCTTTAATAAAAGTTGCTGACCCACAGCAGCTGCTGAAAAACTGTAATCATAGATCATATTTATATTATTCGGATTTAGTGAAGAAGATAATTTTATTCTTTTCACTCAGGTTGTAAGCAAAACGGAACTTAAAGATTTTTATCATATCATTAAAATGGCGCCCACAAATGACCGGAACATAACCCAAAGATCCGGGCAAGAAAGGACCCCTTTTTAATTCCAAAATGAAATAATTCCCCGTGGGCTGCAAGTAACAAACTATTGGCTCAATATTCATG